TTCACTTTCATAGACAATTTTGATGCAAATGAAAGTCAAACGAATACTAAACTTTGATTAAAAAAATAATTTCTTAGGAAACATTTTTTTTTTACTTTTTGGTAATGGAAACAAATTTTATAACCAGGTGTGAAAAAAATTATCGTTTTAATAGACAATTTCCATATAAAATAAAGCCAAACGAATAGAAAATTTAAAAATTTCCCGGGTGGAAAATTATACCAATCAAACACACTTAATTAACAATTCCCTACAAAATATTTTCTAAACAATTATTTTTCCTGGAAATCATTTTCTTTCCACCTATTTTCCACCATTGTAATCAAACGCACCCTTTAATGAAACTTCCAAAAACATGGTTTTTACAGCAGTGTTTACATTTCTGCAGTGGAATTCCTTGACTTTGAACAGTTGCAATTTCAATTACAGACCATAGTTCTTGAAAAAAATAAAATGTCACACTCTAGTAATGAAACTACTCACAAGATGAACGAACAAACAGATGAATGTCGGCTTACTGAGGTCTGTACAAAGGAAAATCTTCTCCAAGCAAACGAGGCCTCAAGATGGCTTCACATATTGCACTATATCATAGACTAAGAAATGACCTCCATCAGCTACTTCATGATATCTAATCCAAGGTAGTTTACTACTCACATATCTTTGTAACTGAAATGGTACGAACTTCTCCTCACAACCTTGCCAGATATAAACTAAGCTTTCCTTTTGGGGGAATAGATCGCACAAATCCATACAAGGGGGGACCCAGCACCCGGCGAGTCCCGACGGCCGCCCATGCTGGATCCGCCGGAAACAAATTTTTTTGTTGACAGTAGATAAAGGATTTAGGTTATATATGGTTATATATCTGGTGATTCATTTTATTTTCTCGAATTCTTTTTAAACCAATTTATTGTATAATTTTTCTAGTTCTACAATTTTCAACAAAACTAATGCAATAGGGAGAGGATTTGAACGTGTAATCCCCTTTAAGATTATTGAATACTTGACCATCATGACACATGTTGAATTTTGAAACTAAATCTAACATAA